GCATCGGATCGCACCCCTCAGTGTCGCCCCCGTACCGGACCGGGACCGGCAACGGGATCGCAAGCCTCGGTGTTGCTCCCGCGCCTCGCTCAGCCAGTGAGCGGCCGGTCTGTATGTGGGATCCGAACCCTCGGCAGGAGCGTCGCCACGCTCTCAAGCGGTGCACTGTAGCAGTGCGCCACCGGGCCAGCCCTCACATCTGCTACATTTATCTGAGTTCCTGGGGCTGGGGAGACAGCAGACAACAATTCCACAACAGCCAGACAAACTGGCCCACCAAAGTAAAAGCCAATAGTCAAGGAGCTATGAGAGAGTTGCCAACAATTTGCTGATGGTATGATTCTGGTATTAACTGCTTTCTATCTACAAAACATAAAAATAGTCCAATGCAAAACCTCTGATGAGGAAAAACTATCATAAGCTCTTGTATTGGTGTGGAATGGCTTTATATTTGGCAGTTAGGATATTTAAATAAGGGTCATTAAGAAAAGAAATGTTGGTTTCAGGAAACCAATTTGCATGTCACCTTTTTTTTTTCCTTTTTGTCTTTTTTCGTGACCGGTAACGGGATCGCAACCCTCAGTGTCACGCCCGCACTGCGCTCGACCAGTGAGCGGACCGGTCTCTATATGGGATCTGAACCCTCGATGGAAGCACCGCCGCGCTCCCAAGCGCCGCACTCTACCAAGTGCGCCACCGGGCCGGCCCGTGTCACCTTTTAAATAAAGGTAAGGTTTCTAAAAGTACCTTGTTGATTTGAAAAGAGTTGGTAAACTATACCCAATCTCATGCAATCTTTAGAGCGTAGTTTTAGGAACAGGAAACCATATCTATTTCTGTTCATTCATATGTGCCAGACTAAACCAAATAGGTGGAGGCTGAAGAAACAGGACAATGCTTTACAATTCAGTTGAATTAGAGATTTCTACGTAAGAAATCTGTCATTCATCTCTCGGATTCAGCTGCAAACTGCATAATTTGAAAAATCAGTACCAATAAAGAACTCTAATAATATACTTTAAAATGCTTAGCAGGCAATTTGCACAAAGAGGCCTATACGTGATGAAAGGGATATTCTGAGAGCCAAATATCCCCAAAGTGATAGTTGTGTGAAAAGTATCACACAGAAAAAATCATAAGAGCTCCTGCACTGGGTAATTTCCATAAAGAAATGTTT